CTTTGACAAAGAATTGACAGCAACACAATAGAGAAAAGATAGCCTTTTCCACAAATGCTGTTAGAACACTGGACATACCCACATAAAATAATGAATCTATGCCCTTCACAAACGTTAATTTTAAATGGATCATAGATCTAAATGTAAAACGTAAAACTAAACAAATTGTACAAGATAGAAGAAGAAAATCTAGACGACTTTGGATTTGGCTATGACTTTTTTGATACTATATCAAAGGTATGATCAATAAGAAAGAGATTGATACAATACACCCCATTAAAATTAAAATTCCTGCTCTGTGAAAGATAATATCTAGAGAAAGAAAAGATAAGCTATGCCTAAAAGAAGACAATTGCAAGAAATTTCTCTGGTAAGAGACTGTTTCACAGAGATTTATCTGATAAGAAACTGTTTTCCTGTTCTTTACACAAAGAATGCTTTTTTAAAATATATATATATTTATTTCTTAGTTGCACACAATACCTTTTTTGTTTATTTATTTTTAATGTGGTTCTGGGGATCGAATCAGGACCTCGCACATGTAAAGCAAACAATGGAGCATCTATGTACATCATACAAATGCTTCTCAATTTCAAGAGTCAAATAGACCACAATTCAGTAATACTAGGTGACCTTAACATACCTCTCTCACTATGGGACAGATCTTCCAAAACAAAAACTAAATAAGGAAACTAGAGAGCTAAATAACACAATCGATATTTTAGACTTAACAAAGATATATAGAATATTTCATCCATCAACAAGCAAATATACTTTCTTCTCAGCAGCATATGGCTCCTTCTCTGAAACAGACAACAGCTTATGCCACAAAGCTAATCTCAGTAAATACAAAAAAACAGAGATAATATCTTGCATTCTATGAGACCACATGGAATGAAATTAGAAATCAACAATAAAATAAAAATGGAGGTAACAAATGGAGACTAAATAATACACAATTGAATGATGATGTAAAGTAGAAGAAATCAAGAATGAAATAAAAAATTCTTAGAGATTAATGAGAACACTGATAATCATATCAAAATCTCTGTAACACTATGAAGACAGTACTCAGAAAAAAGTTTACTGCATTGAGCGCATTCATTAAAAGAATAAAAAGTCAACAAATAAATCACCTAACACTACATCTCTAGGCCCTAGGAAAAGAAAAATGAATCAACACTTAAAGCAGTAGAAGACAGGAAATAATTAAAATCAGAGCTGAAATTAATAAAATTGAAACAATTGGAAAAACTGACAAAACATAAAGTTGGTTCTTTGAAAAAATAAATAAAATAGATAAACCCCTGGCCATGCTAACAAAGAGAAAACTCCAAATTACTAAAATACAAGATGAAGAAGGAAATATCACAATGGAAACATCTGAAATACAGAAGATAATTAC